TGGTATTCAACTAGTAAAATGCAGTTAAATATTTTTATATTAAAAATATGTTTTTACTAAATTAATATTTGTTTAAATAAGGAATTTGATTTCTGGAAATTATTATAATTTTCTTTTTTGCTGGTTCATAATATCAAGAACTATAATTTTAAGCAGAGATATTTATACCCTAGAAAAAATTGTGAACATATGAAGACATTGTATGGACATTATACATTATATAGACATGGTATGAATACATTTAAATATATACAATACAAGAAATTAAGAAAAATTAATATCTTAGTTTCTGTTTATTTTATTTCTAATTTATTAGGTATGGTTTTGAATGTTAAACTATATTTCATTATATAAAGCTTTTGTAACAGTTTCTCAAAATATATATTAAAAATTATGTCAGTAGGTCAGAAAATATTTAAACAAATGAAACTAGGTCAGAAAAACAAATTAGCGTTACAGCACTAAATACTCATTTATATTATTTATGTATTATATTGTGGCAGACCTGCCAGTGTGGCTGTCTTTGGGGAAAACCAGAGCACCCGAAGGAAACCCATGTGAACACAAGGAGAACATGCAAACTTCACACAGAATGCTAACTGACCCAGCCGAGGCTCAAACCAGCAAACATCTTGGCGATCATGGTGTTCACTGCCCAACCGTGACACAAGTTTAAAAAAAAATAAGTTAAACTTACAGTACAATACATACAATACATCATAGCCAATAAAATCAAATCAAATCAGTGGTTGCATAGATTTTCTTTAAGCCAAACTTTTAAGCATGGTTTTAAAATATTAATGTGGCACTCTCTCTAATATACACTGGTATTTTATTTGATCTTTCTGCTGCTCTGACTGAAAAAAAATCTCTTGAGTCTAACCAAACAGTCACCTCTAACCAATGACCTAGTCTGTCTTATATTGTCCTGGCAGAAATATTTCCCTCATCTCTATCACAATTTGTATTTATTGCATTAATAGTATCTAGGCAACGCGGTGGCGCAGTAGGTAGTGCTGTCATCTCACAGCAAGAAGGTCGCTGGTTTAAGCCTTGGCTGAGTCATTTGGCGTTTCTGTGTGGAGTTTGCATGTTCTCCCTGCATTTGCGCGAGTTTCCTCCGGGTGCTCCGATTTCCCCCCAGTCCAAAGACATGCGGTATAGGTAAATTGGAACACTATTTAACCCCATTTGACCTACATTAAGAAAGCTAATGAGGAAAATAGGAGTTATTACTTAGACAAAGACAACGAATGCCAAGAACAATTAAGAAATACTGTCTTGGTCAGTTTAATTAGGCTACATTCACACTGCAGGCAAATGTGTCCCGAATCTGATCCCCCCCCGCCCTCATGTGACTCAGGCGATGACAGTGTAAACAGCCCAAACCATATGAAATCTGATCTTTTCAGGTCAGATCTTTAGATGTATTTTTATATTTAAAAATGGACATGCAGAAATCACTACATTAAGCCTACAGCGAGCAATGAGTCACAAGCACAATCACTGTGCACTCAAATGTGAAACTCTTTGCTGACTTCCTGAACTTTTCCACTGTTTGATGTTGCACACTCTGAACATCAAAAGATCTCGCAATAAACCTGATCCTGTGATGATCTTAAAATGACAGAAGTCCTTTGGGCTATAAAACTCAACAACCAACATTCCATACTTTCTACATTCCAATTTTAGCTGAAATCTACAGTGATCTATTGTGATTTTTGATTCATTCATAAATGCATTCCTTCATTTTGCTTTGGCTTAGTCCCTTATTTATCTGGGGTCACCACAGTAGATTGAACCGCCAACTATTCCAGCATAAGTTATACACAGCGGATTCCCTACCAGCCACAACCCAGTACAGAAAAACACCCATACACTCTCACATTCACACACACATCCATACACAATGTTTAAAGTGGATCAAAACAAGTTAAAAATTTTCCCAAAACACGAATAGATGTTCAATATTTTTATACAACTTCTCTGAAATGTTGACTAATATAAAAAAAGCTAATCTGAGAACCCACATCTTGGCCCAAAGGTGAATAAATCAACTTCAAAATTTTTAAATGAATAAATGCTTCACAGTTTAGTTATAGCTAAAAATAACAACACTAATCCTAATACTCATCGTGGGTTTTATATGAAACCTCAGGCAAAAGCGTCCTTATGCTATGTGCCTAGCGTTAACATTAAGTTTCTATTTTTGCCATTTAATGAACTCAAGACTACAGCTGTACATTAAAGTCTTTTCTAGACTCATTTTCTTACATGACAAAAAATGTATCATAATATCACTGCCTTCAAACTGACATCTACTCACTACTAGCTCATCTGTTAGAAACAACTGCATGTTAAAAGTCCCTCTCTGTCTAACACTGCCATTAAAGTGTGTTAGAAACTCATATAACAAAAGGCCATGGAACAAAATTAGGTTTCTGGAGGCATTCACACCTAAGAGAGTATTGATCTCTGAGCCACTGTCGCTGTCAAAAGCATCTGAGGGATTGCTCTGACGTGACAAGCGTCAAACAATCTTTGAGGAGCTTTTAGAGCCAAAGCGAAAAGGTGAGGTAAAAATTGTTATGATACTGTAGATGTTTGGCCAAGCTTGCATTTTCTGGCATTAAGAATCTACTTTTTCCACTTGTTGACACCTTCAAAGGTACACTAACAAAGTTAGTCTCAGTACATTTACTGCATATAAACCATTAAAATAAAACATTTATATGTAAATTTGAGTTTGCTTTTGTAAAGTCATGTTAACATTGTAACAGATTTATTTTTAGCATTTTGTGCCTTTCTTAAGACAGGAAAGCTTGAAAGGAAGTGTAGTTGGAGAGAGAGAGAAAGAGAAAGGGATCGGTAAAGGTGAACTAAAATCAAATGGCAATTTACTTAGCAAAATAACTTTAAATGGCATTACAAAATAGACTAAACACTTAAGTATTTTTCATCAAAATACAGAATTTACATTTAAACTTATAATATGCTGACGCACGTTTCTTTAAAATTTGCTGATATTTTTAATACACAAAAGTTGCAAAAATATTTCACGTTCTTGTCAGCTAAAATTTTATTTCTGTTGAATAAATTTAGCGTTTGACCGTTACTACAGTAGGTATGTTAATTAATTTGGGATAAAGTCTAACCTACATCTTCCAGTTTACAGTAGCAACGCATTGTGGGATTTGTCGATGCCAACCAACCACTACCCTGCAGGGACAGGACGTCAACATGACGTCAAATTGACGTTGTACCCCAACGTCACAGAGACGTTGGATATTGTCTGGGAATGAATATCCGGTTGACGTCAGAACCCAATGTCAGGCTGATGTCAAGGTCCAACGCTCAACCTAAAATCAACCTAAAATCAATCAAATATCAATGTCTAATCATGTTACACCATGATGTTGTGTAGATGTTACCAATATGATGTTTATTGGACGTTGGATTTTGGTCACTTTCCAAAAAAAACCTAAAATCAAACAAATATCAACCTAATTTGACATTGTTATTGGACGTCAAAATAACATTGTCCTTAGACGCTGGCTAGACGTTGAATTTTGGTCACCTGATGTCATGACCTAAATCTAACTTAATATTAACGTCTTATGACGTTGTGTGCCTGCTGGGCGTAACAAAAGACGCGTTGTGTATGAGGCCGCCAGACTGGATGCGCGCGAGGTACACAAAGTGTGCGCTTGAGAGAGACCAAGTGCACACGGGAGAGACTGGGTGCATGCAAGAGAGGCCAAGTGTGCTTGAGAACGAGACAGAATGTGAGAGAGGTAGACCGAGTGTGCATAAGGAGAAACCGATAAACTATTAACATTATTATCATTAATTATTATTACAAATACTATTATGTTTGTTGTTTAAAAAAATCTAGCACACATTTGTTATCTGTATAACAAAATTAATTTTTTTTATTTTAGTAGAATTTAGTAGACACAGTGACAAATTTTTGTTGTGTTTTAGAACACGTTATTTAAATGTTGTATTGCTCAGAAAAATGCTGTGATTTCTTTTATTGTTTTACATAATTTTTTAGCTGTATAGCAACAGCTGATTTTGCACTTTAAATATACACACCTTCCTTCCCATAAGTTGTTGACGTACTAATTTAATTTGTGGTTGGTTTGAAAATTGCTCATAGATTTCATTTTTGAGCAGCTGTTATGTTTTGGTTTTGTTTAAAAAGCATGAAATGTATGGTTATAATAGCAGATTTTTGCTGCTGAGTTTCACCAAATTGATTCTGAATGATAATTTAGATTACTTTCATTTATTTATTTCCTAAGGGTTTTGTGTTTGTTGTATATTGTTGCTGAGTTTAGTTTTCAAGTAGTGAAGGAACATGCTTAAAGGGTAAATACAATAACCTTAGTTTTTGCTTTTTTGTTTCTAAATTATTCAGCTGGTTTTTCACCTTGTGATATTTTTTTTGTTTGTTTTTATGCTGCTGGTCTGACTTCAATAAATTAGTATTTAAAAATTTATTTTGTTTAAGTTTTCTTTTGTTTTAGTTGTGAGAATGCAAATTAATTAAAACTGTGAAGTTGATCAACAGTGTATTTTCCACGCAGCACTGAAGTAAAGTTATAAGGGAGCATTAAAAATGTTCTGTGGAAAAGTAGCTGAAAAATTACTTTTAAAAGTAACGCATTACTTTTTGGTGTGAGTAATCAATAAAGTAATTGAATTACTTTTTGAATTAAGTAATTGTAACTAGTTATTATTTTTCTGTAACTAGCACAACACTGGTGACAAGATATATAATCAAAGCAAAACTTACAAAAAGTTTCACATCATAAAATATATTAAAGTATATAATTTTAACATTAAGATACTAAAACTTTGTTTAAATAAATAGACATTATGTTCTACGTTTTAGCACACTTTCTGAAACTTTTTTCTTTCGACTTTTAAATGAGGTTTCAATGAATAACTGTTTAGTTGCAACCTCAAAATACAGTCAGTATTTTGTGCGGTACCTCACTGCCTGCTGTCCTGCTCCAGCGGCATTACACACCAGCAACAGGACCTTCAGCATCCCATCGGTTTGGTTCAGGAACTCAGATGACAAAGCACCGGACGCGGCCAGACGGTGACCCTCCGGACCAGACGAGGAGTACGGAGAGGACGGAAGACTGTGGTGAAACCCTGCGAGGACACGGAGAGCTAGAGGTCACCTCCCAACATGGGCAGATTTATTGTCTGCGGCTCTACATAGCCGAATAATGTCAAACTTTATTGCGCTACAAAACAAGGTGACATACAGATGGGTAGAGAGAGGAAGAGAGTGAAGGAGAGAGAGAAAGACAGATGGAGACATGCAAATAGAGCACAGCAGACAGCAGACTGAACACAGTAGGGTGTGTGATCTGACGCCAGCCTTCACATACACACACACATAATGAACGTCAAGCTTTCAGATGCTGTTTTCCTCCCAATAAACAACGACTGGGAAGCAGTTATTAAGAAACATGAAATTAAGCATCTAGAATGAACTAAGCAAAAACGGTCAAGGGCAGCTATTTGATTTCACGCAGTTGAATTTATGAAGGACAAAAGAAACACTTCATTTCAAGGTGACAATAATAAAAGCGGAAATGCATCCCAAAATAATTGGATTTTAGAAATGGTTTCTTAATAGGCAAAATTATAGTTCCATTATAAACTCATGCTGTTGGTGGAGCTAGCCAATTTGTCAGGCTAGTCAGAATGTGTAAACCTTCATTCATTCATTCATTTTCTTTTTGGCTTAGTCCCTTCATTAATCTGGGGTCGCCACAGCGGAATGAACCGCCAAATTATCCAGTATATGTTTTACGCAGCGGATGCCCTTCCAGCTGCAACTCATCACTAGGAAACACCCAGTGGTGTAGCGCAAAACGCTTGGGCCCCTCAAAGCAAGAAGGTCACTGGTTTGAGTCCCGGCTGGTCAAGTTGGCATTTCATTGTGGAGTTTGCATGTTTTCCTTGTTTTGGCATGGGTTTCCTCCGGGTGCTCCAGTTTCCCCCACATTCCAAAGACATGCGTTATAGGTGAATTGTAAGAACTAAATTGGCCATAGTGTATGAGTGTGTGTGATGGTGGTTTCAAAGTACTAGATTGCAGCTGCAAGGGCATCCGCTGAATAAAACATATGCTGAATAAGTTGGTGGTTCATTCTGCTGTGGCGACCCCTGATGAATAAATTTATAGAAAGAAATCTATATATTTATTCAGCAAATATGCATTTAATTAATCAAATGTGATAGTACAGAACATTTATAACCTTAGTAAATATTTCTACTTAAAGTTTTTCTGGCCTAAGAATCATAAATGGTCTTAAATTATGAACTGTTTAATTGACTTTTATTTTATAGAACCTTGCTTTTCTGTGTTGTGCTCTTGTTTCTGGAGTTATTTGTTTTGATATTTAATAATTATGTTGAACGCTGTTTGTAGTTTTGTTCTCACATACATCTAAATTTTCTGCCCTTGTTTTGTTTAGTTCAGTCCTTATCATGTGTAATTCGTAACAATCATTCACACAATGCAACATTATTCTAAGTAATGACTGAAATAATATTATAAAATAAATGAAAGCATAATAAAATGAAGATGGAAGACTAAAGTATTTTCCCAATATTTTGACATTTTATTTTCACATGTATTTGAAACTTTAAGGGGCCTATCATACACCCGGCACAATGCAGCACATTGCAATTGTTGTTTCCTAGTTTCAGCTTGGTCGTTTTGCGCCATGCTATTTAAATAGCAAATGCATTTGCGCTCATTTGTGACCCATAGGCGTTCTGGTCTAAAAAAGAAACCGTGTTGAGGCGCATTGCTATTTTTAGGATCTATAATAAACAATTCATAAGATCAGATCAAAGCTGGTCAATTGTCCAGCGCAGAACACGTTAGTTGTGCGCTTCGCTTACACACCGCTTAATACACAAAGATGTACAGCAATACACAAATATCTTTACAAATGAAAAAGAATTAAAGGGTTAAAATATTACCAAAAATATTATTTTCTAGCCTTCATAAAAACATATAAAAACCATACTTTAATGCCTTCTTCATCTCGGGGGGCTTTTTAAGTTTATTTATAACAATTTGCTTGAAATTAGAACTGAAACAATTCTTTGCGCTTCACAAACTAAATTAATTATGTAGGCTACAGGCTTATGGATGTCTGTGCGTACAACACATTTCTCTATCCATAAGAGTGAAAGCGAAAGTAAACAATGAGGAGCCTCATCTTTCATTCTCTCTCTGAGGGATGTGCGGAGCAGCCGGTATTTGTATCTGTATTTGTATTTGTTGAGGGGGAAAAGTATTTGTATTTGTATTTGTATTCGAGTAAAATTCAAAATGGTGCAAAAATATAAATTTTTTTTATTACACTTCTTATTTACGTTATAGTGAAAGTATTGTTTAATTATACCCATTATATAAATTATAGATATGCAATATTGGCTGTTGTTTTTGAACATGTG